TCTGAATTCTGTGTGTCCAGAGCTCTTCTCTGTACCAGTGCACATGCTCTGAACTAGCCTGATTTATAAAGTAGATCTAGGGTCATGATAGTAGGGAAAAGCAACATTAAAGAACTAGGGGAAGTTTTGTGGGCAATACGGTACTTCTAATGCATCGATTTTTCCTTATTAATGATCTAACTTTTGCATACATATGAAGTGATTGAGAATGTGAGAGATTGGGCCAGACGTACCTTGATGCTCAATGTGGCATGAAGGTTCTCTAACACGTTGAGGAGGTCCTTTGCAACTTCAACACTTTTTCGATTTATCATGGTGTTTATTGGTCAAGTTGTGAGGATTTTGTTTTCTTTATGTTGAGGTGTATTCTTTGATCTTCATCAATAAATACCTCAAGTCTTCTTCACTTCCAGCAACCAAAGTTGTGTCATCTGCATATTGCATGTTGTTATCCACGGGGGCAGTACTCCTCTGTCTTACAGTCTATACCTTTCCGAAGGTGGTGTTTCCATCTTTCTACCTCTTCTCTGATTGAATTGAATTTGGTCAGAAAATTCCTTTTGAAGACACTGTGTTTATTGTAGTTTGCTCTGTGAGTCATATTGGTAAATATAAGGCTCATCTCCTGGTATATTTCACATTATAAAATAGTCTCATTAGCATATTTCTTGCTTGAGAGACTGATAGAAAAATCAACACTTTTAGCACCCATAGAACTGATAGTTGGCTGAAGCCAAGATGTTCACTTAAATTGAAAATGCTGAGCCATGTGAGACCCCAGCCTCAGTTGCTGTTTCATCAATGGTAAGTTGATGGTCTTCTGCCATCAGATTCTGGACTCGGTTTCGTCATTCACTGAGGTTGATGGCCTTCCCTCTCTTTGCTCTTATTTGAAGTTTTCCCAACCTTTCTTAAAATGCTTGAGCCATCTAAGAACGGTTGTTCAATGTAAGGTACTATTTTCACAAACTTGTTGCAACGCTTCAATGATTTAAGAAGATGGCCAATTGAGTTTTGTTAAAAATGTGTTTATAAGCCTGACCTCAACGTTGTATTTTTCATGGTATGAAAGTATCCTTTTCTTTGAAGGTATTGTACGAGTAGGATAAGTGTATTACTGAGTAAACTCATCTGCAGCCATCCACTGATTGCAAAGACAAGTTTAAACACACTTGGTTTAGAAGAACGCACATATGAACTGAAGTCCTAGTAGCAGTGTGTTTGGCTTATCCAAGAATACCAAACAGATTCTATTATGCTTAAGTGCCAAGAGGTAAGAATAAGAATTCAAAAGTAATATATCTCCTAATAACAAAATCTGGACTTCAAATAGCCACATTCCTTAGAATGGAAAAGTAAATATTGGCAGTCATATATTTTGATGCCACGTTAATATATAAAATACATCCTTCTTTATGGACTTAAATAATACATATATAAACTACATCCTTCTTTATGGACTTAAATAATACATATATAAAATACATCCTTCTTTATGGACTTAAATAATTTCCCATTTTATGAATGTACTACACTTTTACAGTGGGAAAGTTAGGTTATTTCCAATCATTTGCTGTCATTAAAAACAAAAAAATCTACAGCAAATAACTTTATGATAGCTCATCTTACATATGAAAGTATTTGCATTGTAAATTCTCAGAAGCGTGAATGTGCATTTGTGACGATATTTCTAAAGTTCTCTCTACAGAGAACATAGCTATGTCTACTACTGCCATTACATATCCGAGGACCTGGTCTCCTGTGCTGCTGCGTTGCGCTTCTTCCCGTTCATTTCCTTGTACTAGAGCTCTACAGCATAATTGTTGAAAAGAAGTGATGTTCCAGGAAATGCTTGTCTTCCTAAATTTGGTAGATAATAATGCAAATAGTATTACTATTAATCTACTTTAGTTTAAAACAAACAAACAAACCAGACCACTATTTGGAATGGTGGCATACAATTTCATCAAAAAGATTTTTTTTAATGCATATAACTAATAGCTCTTTTTAATATATTTAAACCATTGAATTCTATGGTATGTGAATCATATGCCAATAATAAAACTGTTTAAAAAATTAAATGCATGTAACCATTCCACCATGTTTCTCTCATTCCTCAGATTTAGGTCACAATTCTCAATATTCCCTGGGTCCGTTTGTAGTTTATTATACACAAAAGCTAACAATCCTCATCGATCATTCTCTATCATCAAGTTGAATTCCAGTTTGTACAAATGGCATCCAGATTACATAGATAGCCCAAGATGCTAGTCCCATCGATGTACTCATTCCTTGACCATTTACCTATAATTGACTAGTTAGGCGGCTTGTGGTTTTCATTACTGCAATTACACACTAACAGAGGAAATAGTCTTGACACCCAATCCGGCCTCTGCCACATAACAGATATAAGGCCCTGGGCAAATTGCCTATCTTCTTTAAGGCTCGGGTTTCTCATCTGTTCGTAACTACATTCAGGAGTTATAATGAGGGTTATTAAATGGCATGTAGCGTGCTTCAATAGTCTTTGGACCATGGAAAGTGCTTAACAAACATTGGTTATGATGATGCTTACGATCCTTGACGAATGGTCTGAAGCATGTTTTTTTCCTATTAAAATCAGGGTCTTGCTGAGTGGTATCTGTGACTCAGATACTCTGAACCTCGTGAAGCTGCCGACTCTGCGGCCATGTGGAAAAACCATGGCAGAAAACGCAGTTTGTACTGGGGCTGTCAGTGCTGTAAAAGAAGTTTGGGAAAAGAGAATAAAGAAACAAGATGAAGACCTGAAGCGAGACAAAGAATTT